AAATTTCCTTGGTGGATCTCCCAATGGCCTGGGGACAATCTGGGTAAATAAAGTAGAAGATCATGAATTCATATTCCCTTGTCCTCCTCCTCCCTGCTTCCCCTCTCCTCCCTCCCACACAGCATGGAGGGAAGCCCACACCGGTCTCATGGGGGGTTTACTTGGGCTGGGTTAATAGCAATTGTGACCACTGATGACTTGACAGCTCTTCTGCCCTTGCTGGAGGGGATGAACATAGGAGATCCACAGGCATGGCAGCAGAGCATATATCCCTCCCTTTCAAACATCTTACAGGACAATGCATCCAAAGACTCCTGACTCTCCTCTGAGGACCAGCCAAGAATACATTAAGGAGAGTGGAGATAGGAGGATCCTGGTACATAAACCCACTTTTTCTTTAATGAGATCAGTAGTATTTTGGGTCCTTGATTACTAAAACCTTTACATGGAACAATATGTTCTCTGCAGAAAAAGCTAGAGAACAAGGTAAACTATTACTACATCAAACAATGTCTGATCAAATCAACCTGGATGCAAAAGCATCAGACAACACCAGTGAGTAATGCTGCATTTCAGCCAACACTTCAGCTCACATTAGCACATCCGTTGTAGTTCTTGGGCAATCATCTTGGTCTTCCAAATAAGTTGAGATCATAATCTTTCTGTTGTTGTTTCCTGCCAGGCACAGAAGTGGTTTCACCCTCAGCCTTTTCCAGACCACCAAAACACGAGACACTAAAGCAATCTGACTCTCCCGTATGCAACTCCTGCCAACTCGAAATCTCCTGAAACAATAGGCTGCACAAGGCCAGTACTCCAGGAGATGGGGTTTATACGAGGTCCAACACCTTTGCCTAAAAATGACTCATAAAACCACTAGATCTCTATTCCCGAGCATTACGCCATCTAGCCCCAACAGAGTCGAACCGTGCAAAGTGAAAAAGAAATCAGGAACACACTGAACTTAAAACTGCAAGTATATTTTAAATCCTATTTTAGATTCATTTAAATTAACTGAGGTCAGGCAACTTCTTTATTCAGCTGGGTTACTCTTACTGGTTTAATATCAAAAGCAGTCAGCCACATTTTTCAACCAAAAATAAAGAAACTCCCTAACAGAAGAACACTCTAAAACTCAGTAGAGATATAGAAACAGCTTACAATAAACTACCTTCTGGAACAACTAATGGAGAAAATTACTGTTATTTGGCCATGGGGGACAACTCTTTGTATATTATTACATATTTTGCAGGTCACAAATTAAGAGCACAATTTTCATTTTCTAGCATAGCACTTTTCCAAGGTGTTTCACAAAGAACACCAGTGCAACAGAGAAAAGCAAGTCAAACAAGATAAGTGTGAGAAGTTCTGCCTTCCCTAGTCCCCTCCTTGGAAATGACTGATGCATATTTGTAGTAAACTCTATAAATCCAGCATTTTCCCACGTTTATTTGGCCCTGCAGTCTGTTTTCTCTTAGAGAAAGATTTTTGTAGAAAATAGATATAATGAAATGGTCCAGTAGCTAAGACTCTGAAGTCAGCCTGATCCGAATACCAGCATAACCCCTTGTTAGTTATGGGCAAGCTTCTTAACATCACTTGTCCCTCAGTTTCCCCAGGTAAAAATGGACAAAACAATAGCAGCTAGCTCTTAGGTGTGGGTCTTCCAATATGAAAGCAACTGTCTGCTGAGAGCCTTATTTACTTCATGCCATTTTACTGCCTACTATTTTTTGTGAGGTCTGTGTCTCCCACAGCAAGTTCCTTTTTGTCACTCAGATCTCAGTTCACAATGACACCCCCTCCAAGAGGCCTTCCCTAACCACCAATATGAAGTTGGCCCCACCCTAGTCACTAGTTCTTCATCCTCTTCTTTTCCTCCTGATACTTCTCTGTTTAACTGTTACATAGGTATTTGTATACTAGTTGACCCCAATAGAATACAAGCACCATGTAGTCAAACGTTATCATTTATCATTGCTCTATCCCAAAACACATCCTCAAATATGTATTCATTGGATGGATGGATGGATGGATGGATGGATGGATGGATGAGTGAATGAATAAATGAATAAATGAATGAGGTGGCTGTGAGAATTAGATGTGAATCACATAAATCATTCTTTATAATGTCTGACACATGAGCATCAATCTAGACAGTTTTGAAAACTTTTGATGAATGATGTGGTTAATGCATTCGAAATTCTGACACTATTTAACTTGCCTCTTCTTGCTGTATCATGGACAAACATTTAATGGCATTTATTTAGAGATGTGTTGGTAAATGGGCTTGCAGGAATGGGGCAGGTGGGGGGAGTGCAGGTAGCATTTTACCGATTTCCATGGTGTAAATACTGCCACCATGACCAATTTCAGTTATCAATGGTTTAAAAGCAGGCTCACAAAATTCCAGAAAATAAAACATATGGCTCTCACAAGACAGTACAAGTCTTCTCTGGGGAAGGGTCTTTTCAGGCCTCCAAGTTTTGTTTGTTGAGTTGAAGTTTAACATTTTTAAAAATTTAATATTTTTATTGATTTTAGAAAGAAAGGGAGAGTGAAAGAAACATCAATGATGAGAATCATTTGATCAGCTGCCTCTAAAATAAAATTTTTATAGGGAGATATTTTTTCCACATTCTCCCTTTTTATGAGTCAAAATAAGGACTACCCACTGCCTGGTCTGATACTCAAGGAAACTAGTTGGATGTGTTGGGCTACATTTTCTGTGAACTCTCAGACTGGTGTTTAAGGCTCTAAACATGATCTATATCCATATATGACCATTGTGAGGACCAACTAACCTCATAAAACACAAACTAAGTTTAGTTTAGATTTATTTAAATGGAGGCATCTGCACAAGAGAATCAAGGAACCATCTATTAAGTGCCACCAATGAGCAGAATCTGATAACAGAATAAGAGTGACTCTTATCCTGACCCCAAGATTCCAACATAGAGTGAAGGTCAATGCTGCAGATGGGAGTTTCTCTGGCACCACAGGCTTGCTGTACATGCAACATGACCCCTTGGCACCGAAAGCAAAGCATCTGTGTTTTTCAAGTACAGAAATCTACCAACCAGAATTTTGAGATGACACAACCAAAATTCAAAATCCACAGTCACTCTACATGCAAGTGATAACATGCCAATGATTATTGCTTCTCTTTTGTAAACTATATGGAAAGTCTATGGAGTAAGGCAGGAAGAGACTAGCTTCTAATCCACTGTATCAGCTACCTATTGCTATATAACTATTACCCCCAAAATTCAGCAGCTTAAAACAACACACATTTATTATCTCACAGTTTCTGTGGATCAGGAAACCAGGCACAGCTTAGCTGGGTACTCTGCTTCACAGTTTCTCACAAAGCTCTAGTCCAGGTGTCAGCCCACAGCCTCCCATCTCATCTGAAGGCTCAACTGGGGAAGGATCCACTTCCAAGCTCACTAAGTGGTTGTTGGCAGTTTTCAGTTCTTTGTGACTTTGTAGTGAGAGTCTCAGTTCCTCACTGGGTATTGGCTGAAGGCTGCCCCTGGTTCCTTACCACAAGGACATCCCCACATGATAGAAGGCAATAGAGTCTGTTAACAAGATGGAAGTAACAGTCTTATGTAACTTAATCATGGAAGTGTCACTGTCATCCCATTACCTTTGGCATTCTCCGCTGTTTAGAAACAAGTCACTGGGTTCAACTTATACTCAAGGAGAGGGGATTACACAAGGGTATTCGGTATCATTGGGGCCATCTTAGAAGTCTGCTCACCACAACCAACCTTCTTGGAATATGAACAGGAAGACCAGGTCCAACAAAACACCTTTTTAAGCATCTCCATGTGAACCCAAGCCATGTGGTTTCCTAAGCATATTGCTAAGGTCTCATAAAAACAAAACAAGAGAGAATGAACACTGAGGACATTAAGTCTGAAAACACAAAATTCTGTTCAAATGGTCTAAGCAAATACACTCTATATCAGAGAAAACCCCTGGGAGCTTCTGTATTAGTAAGTCCCAACATGAAAGCCATTTTTTCTGAACAATGAAACGAGTGACTCATGGGAAGGGCTGCCCATCTGAGCAGGTATAGAATGCCAGGAAATCTAGTTTGGCCTAGAAGCAAGTTATCTTTTGGAATTTTTATTTGTTGCTGTAGCATAATTTGAAAATTTACTTCATCCCATTTTACTGGCTACTATTTTCTGTGAGGTCTGTGTCTCCCACAGCAAGTTGCTTACATGGTCCTTTTGCAATAGAAACCCATCATAGTGGCAAAGAAGTGCTGTAAAAATGTCAAGCCTTAGCTGTCACCCGCCTTCTAGCTAAGCTCCACCCAGCCACATATTCTCAGATACATGAGCATCCCATCATTCAATGGTGGTGGCCGGCCGGAGAGGCTGCTTCTGAAAGACTTTGAAGGATTTAACCCACTAAGTGCAACACACATAGAAAACATGGAGTACTCAGTCCTGGATGAATGCAAGGGCAAACAACAAAGATTATCTTCAATCTAAACGTTCAAAAGTGCTCCGCACGTTTTACCATGCTTTCCAGAACTATCCATATGCTTTCTGAAAAGTCTGCCCTCAGTTCAGCTATAAAAAAATAGTTAGGTTTATTGTTTTGCTAATCACCTATTCATTTTGCTCCTCTAGAGCGATGATTTTTGGTAAACATCTAAAATTAAACAGTACTGTACAAAGGCCCCGAAACAACGACCATCTGTGGGAAAGCAGCCGTAAACCACCTTAGAGCTGACACGTGCTACACACGCCTGGACCCTGAATTCGTATTAAATAATAATGGAACATATGTGTGGTGAGCAGAGAAAACAAACTAATGCAAAATTCCAGCGTGAAGGTGATAAGCAGACAGGAAGGTTATAAAACAGGTGACCAAGGGGATTTTAAGGCCGTAGATGTCTTCTGACCTGTGAAAACAACTTGATAACAAACCTTAACTCGTAAAATCTGACTTTGGGACAATAAAGGGGATGTTCTTACCTCTCTCAGATGTATGTTTTCCTTCTCTTTCTGGTCTAAAATCACCTCCAAGTGGCTGACCTGAGACTCGGCCTCGGCCACCCGCCGCGTCCTCTCATTGTCTTCCTCCAGACTTTTGGACGGCAAACCTTTACTTTGTAACATCTCCAGCAGCTTTTTAATGGACTCGTCTCGGGCATTGAGGGTCTGTTTCTGCGTTTCGATCCTCAGCTCCATTTCCTCCAAGGTCTTCCTCAATAGGAACAGCTCCTTAGCCTGCCGGTCATGCTCCGCTTGCAGCCGCCGGAAGTTCTCCTCCGTCAGCTCGATGGTGAAGTGCTCGGCGCCGCGGTTGCCGCTCTCTTGCTGCAGGAGGTGGTTGAGGTCTCTCTGGGTTCGCAGCTCATCCTGAAGGGCCTGGATTGTCAACTGCAGGTGCTGTGATGGAAAGACGGGGCAGGAGAGGAGACAGAAGGAGAAAAGTCAATGGCCACGCCAAGGGCTCTGTGCTGGTCCCGCACCATGAAGATGGAATGTTAATCATGAGGTCCACAGGGCCAGCGTGAAGTCCTCCGGGTGACTTCAGAAGCATGGGACAGCACATGGAGAGGGGGAGTTAATTCAATGAGGCTTTCTCAATGTCGTAGGAGAAAAGAAATGCACACATACACAGAAACAGTAGATCAGTGTCAGTCACGAGGGAAATTGCAGTCTACTGTTTTAATTTAGGAAGTGGGAAGGGTTAGAGGGAAACTCACAACACACCTTCTTTATGCCCACAGTGCTCCAGACTCAGTATTCCTTGTTTCCTACAGGGATCTTTATTCTACTATCCATTATTTTCCATGATAAATGCATGTCCACTTAAAAATGAAAATAATAGCATCCACTACAAGTAGACACAAACAATTTTTTACAAATAAAGCTGTGAACAGGTTTAGTGAACAGGATTACTGCATCTGCAAGCAAAGGGAACAAAGGCAGACGGAGACAGACAGTCAAACACATGGGGAGGTGAGGCTGTGCAGAGTAAAACAAGCGAGCTGCAAAGAGTGGACAAACCTTGGTTCTTCTGGCATCCAGCAACTGAACAGCATGGGAAATGAAAAAAAATAAATGAAGCAGGAAATCAACACAAAGAAAAGTCCAGTGCAAGCAAAGGATATTTAACAGAAAGAACTTAATCAACATAAAGTACCTTCACAGAGAAAAAAAGAAAAAGAAAAACAACTTCTTCTTACAGCAAAGACCCATAAGCTACACACAATCTATAGTACTGATGCTTGATAAATGTGATTTTTTTAAAGTGAGGTTTGTTCCACCTTTTCTTTTCCTAAATCTCCCTGACACAGTGAGTCTTGGGTGTATTACCACAGAGAAAAGCACCCACACCTAATTCCAGGTCACCCTTTTAACCAAAATTACAGGGAGAACACCAGAGAAACAAAATCATTACCAATGTGAGAAGAGAACCCCTTGGAAGAATGAAATAATGATACATGTTATAACATAGATGAAAATGTGCTAAGTGAAAGAAACCAGTTATTGCATGATTCCATTGATAGTAAATGTTCAGAATAGGCAAATATATAGAGACAGAAAATAAATTAGTGGTTGCCAGGGCCTGGATAGGGAGGAGATAAGGAGTTACTACTAAAGTGTATAGGGTTTCTTTTTTGGGGTGATGATGTTCTAAACTTTATTGTACTGATGGTTATATAACTTTATGAATATACTAAAAAACTACTCAATGTTATACTTTATATATGCCTCACCCAAGGATATGTTTATTGATTTTTAGGGAGAGGGGAGGGGAAAAAGAGAGAAAGAGAAACATCAATCAGTTGCCTCCTGTATGCACCCCAATCGGAGATTGAACCTCCTACCCAGTCTTGAGCCCTGATCAGGAATCAAACCCACAACCTTTTGGTGTACGGGGTGACGCTCCAATCAACTGAGCCACCTGGGCAGGAAAGTGGTGTATTATATTTCTTTTAAATAATTCATAAAGGCCATCATGAAATATGTACCAGTTGCTTATTCCCCATCAGTACCCTGTGAGGCACTGTGGCACATGGGTGAGAAAGTGAGTACTTGACCCTTATGCTCTAGGAATTTCAGTGGAAATGTATAGATGCAGTGAATATCCGTGATAATTCCTACCACAAAGAGTTGTTGTGAGAATTGAATTAGCTAATACAGTACATATAAAACTCTAGGAAGTACAGAGTAATCACTTATACTGTATCAGTCAGGATAGGGTAGAATATGCTGCTGTGACGACAGCAACAGAAACCCACATTCTGAAAGACATAACCCACCTGCCGGGCTGAGGACACAGAATCAGAGCTCTTAAAGCTCAAACAGACCTTAAAGATTTACATGTTGACATCATTTCACAAATGAGAAAATCAGATCACACTGGTTAAATGTCAGGTGCAAAAACACACAAACACTGCCAAAGCCAACATCTCCGTTTCTGGGGTCCTGGGCTCCATCCTGGTGTGTATTCCAATAACCCTGAGGGTAGACAAAAAGGGGGTGGCTCTCTACTTTAACGACTTAGGAAATGGCAATCGTGTTAGAGACAGAACGAGCAATAACCTAAATTGTTTCGCCTATACATCACTATTAACTATTGGGTCCTGTCCAATAGTTAAGTAGCATGGGACACAACAAGGACAGGGACAATTTACTGAGACCTCCTTTCTAAGTCCTTGGAATTAGACCGTTAGCTAATTAGAATTAGCTATTGGAACACAAACTCAATAAAAACTACCTCTAAAGATCATAAACAATAAAGGGAAATCTCTTGCAAAGCTGAAGACCTTTTCTGAGGGTCAAAAATTAAGAAAAATGATGCACAGTTTTCAATTCCCCCTTCCCAGATTATTCAGTTCCTTCAGGCTGAATCACTCCCCTTCTCAACTGTGAAAGCACATTTCTCTTACGGCAGGCACCCAAACCCCACTGGATCAATAATCAAGAACATTCATTTCAGCTTGTTACCTACATCAGGTACCTACCTACAAACCAGCAACCTGCAAGACTGGATTCTAGGGCCATCTCTTGGAATCTCCCAGTCATCACCACAGTCTCAACTTCCCAAAGCCTCGACCACTCCTTCTATGGCTTCTACTCCACTGCACCACTAGAAACAGAAGCCCTTCCAATGTCCACCTACATCAGGAAGGACAGCACCACATGATCCGACCTCGTACCTGTGTCCCAGTCAAACTGCTGTCAACTCAGCACCTGTGGCACAGGTGAGACAGGTGGCAAAAAAATTCTCTTCAAGTACAATAGTGAGGCAGTGGTTGGATGAGTATTCAGAAAGCTTTTTACTCCCCACCCTGATTCTGAGATCATCTCCAGTGACTCTCGAAGAATCAAAGCTCAGAAAGCAAACCCCTTTCTCCTTGGCCTGCCACTGAGGACATCACGGAGGAAAGCAAAGCAGGTGTGACAATGGGCATACAGGCTGCTCCTTCCAGTCAGTCCACTAGGAGAACAAATAGAATGTGTCACATTTATCAGGATACCCAGCCTTTAACCAGCTCTTTTTAACCTTTGCCCTCCACACTTAATCACATGCTTTGAACTCTGCCCTGGAGAGTACAGACTAGCCTCATCTCCAGTCCACAGGAAAAAAAATGGTTTAAAATCATTGGTCTGCCCTTTAAACACAGGTAAACAAAATGGGAGCTGGAAAGATTAGTCTGTCCAACTGATTCCAAGTCTCAGACAGTAAAGGAGGTTACAATGACTTCCCTTTCTGGTATTATGGTAGGCTACATTTTCTGGTAGGCCCTCCCAGTATGCAACAGGCAGATAGAAGCAAATATATCTTTCAAAGCATTGTTGTGCTTACAAAAAAAAGTAATCTCCAGGAGAAAGAAAGAGAAAGTGAGCTTCTCAAGGGCAGGTTCTGGGCCAAAATTGGATTATACCCCCAAATCTAGCACATAGTGGGTATTCAATAAATAGAGAGTACAATATGGGCAGGAAGATGAAAGAACCAAAGGGGAAATTGTCTTGCCAGTCAGTTGGCACAGGGGAACAATGTGAGGGAGAATGGGTTTCCGTTCCTCTTTGCTTTGCTGTTAGGTTGGGGGTGAGGAAATGGTGGGGAGGGGGAGTGTGTCCTTGACCTCAGATTACTCTGCCCCGTTCTGTCCTCCAAAACTAAAAATGCCTCACATCTACCAGGTCACTCAGCTGACAACACTGCTCTGAAGCTGCCAGCACTATGTCCACTCCACAAGGGAATAAATAGGGCAGGCTTAAGGGATTGGACTGCAATCACATCATTAGCTGATACGGGCCAGTGTCTAAAATTGAGGTTTCCTCCAGCCAATTCTAAGAACTTCATTTTGCACAACTCTTAAAAGCTCAAGAAAAGGAGAACCATGAAAATAAAAGAAACTAAGCCACACTTGAGTTTATCTGAAAGAGGAGGGGGAATATCCTTTGCCTTAGCCAATGTTTAGGAGGGTGACCTCCAATTGCTACTGGAGTCAGAATCTAATCCAGATTTCAGAATATCTATAGCACAGAAAGGTAAATAGAATGAATATATATATATATATATATATATATATATATATATATATATATTCATATGATGTACATGGAACACACAATTTTTTAAATAGGGACTAGCCAGATGTTTAGAATCTACTGTGTCTTACCCCCAAATACGGAAAATATGAGTTCCTGGCAGATTTGGGGGGGAAAAAAATCTGTGACCTTAAGCTCTTTTCCACACTATGAGGAAAAAACAAAGAAATGATAAAGTTTTGTACTATAAAGCAGTTTATGGTTTCATTGCTATGAAAACCATCTCTGAGCTATATAAAAATATGAATTGGCTTATACCCAAAAGTCTTGAACTTTTTTTTAATAAATCCATACCGCTTCTCAAGCAAGGGCTTAACATAACTCTTTCAAAGAAAACGGAATCTCTCTGCAGACAACTTGGCCTGCTCTACTTTTTCTGTGACTTTATTTTCCTATTTGTCATTTCCCAGTTTGTCTCTAATCAAATTTTAAGGGCAGGTTCTCTGATCCCTTTTTCCATAATCCTGTAGGCAGGACGCACAGAACTCCTCATGGCTCCAAACCTTCATGTGTGTGAAAAGACAAACAGCAGACGCTGGCGGAAAACATATGGCTCCGTGTGCTGTGGAAGAGTTGCTCTACTGAGAAAAGTATAAAAAATTAATATTTGGACATATGGTCCTGGGCGTTCTCCTTCAGGATAGAATAAGAACACTGGGTGATTCTTAAAAGCACCAAAATGCGGGGACCCTGGGTTCCTCGGGCAGACGTGCTGTCAGAGATAACTGTGGAACCCACTTAGGTTGATAGCATGTGACATTGTGCCAAGATTCATAACACTGGGAACAGCATCCATGGGAAAGCCCTCTTGGCAGCTG